ATTCCTGGCGGCTTACTCCTCAGGGTCAAGTACTACCTCTGCTCAAAGAGTTACGGGGGATGAAAAGCTTGATGGAGTACTATCTCGAAGGGCATCCGCGGAGTTGTATGTTATTCTTCTCACTTTTGCCCTATTTGTTTTCTCACCTAGTTTATCAAGGACTGTTCGAGATATAGTCGAGCTTGCAAACTCAGTGCCTCAGAGCCGAACGCCTAAAATCTCCTAGATAATTTTGGCTGAAAGTTCGCTCGAAACCATTGTCCTTGTATTATATTGTTACTTGCAACTTGCTTGCAACCACTGCAAAACCAGTGTCAAGACTGAGTGCAACGGCATAAGTATTCAGAATTATTACTGTACAATGGTTACTCCTGTATTTACAAGTCTATGCTCTATTAATCACAAGATCCAAGAGGGAAAGCTGTGTACTGCACCCTTTCTCCGACGGAATCCGAGTCACTGGCAGTTGACTGGCAGTGCGTAATAATATTTAGACGCCCGTGGACACCCGTAGCAAGGGGCCGTAATTAGTAATTCAAATTGCTCGAAACCGAGTAACATCACATGATCAGGCATCACAGTCAGTGAACTGAAGAAGAGAACTGAAGTAGACCGCAATTACAGCCACCTCGATTGCCACGATTCAACTTTCACTGTAGAATTGCTCCAGTTTCCTGTAACGCGAATACTTCAAAACCGTACACCGTGAAGATATAATCCAGCGAAGAGAGATCTACTTTCGTCACTACCACAATAATGTCTCCTCGAAAAGAAGATGTATCAGACTCAGAAGACGACGAAGATTACACTCCGCTAGAAGGAAAAGGTGCGTTTGATAGGTCTGAGTATCTCCTTTCAAATAACAACACGCCGTAGAGTCAGAAGACAGTGCATCTGAAGCAGAAAATCACGACGATTTCTCAACAGCTACGGAAAAGCCGGTGGACGAAGCGGAACGAAAACGGCAAGTTACGATGTCATACATTTAGTCCGTTCATTCATATCGAGAAAAAGTGAAAGGGATGCTCTATGGTCAACATTCCAAGAATCTGTCAGACAGCCCGAGGCGCGGACTGAGCAGCAAACTCAACCGCCAAAGATGGTCAAAATTGAACGAAAATACTTGTTCGCTGGGAAAGAAGTTTTGTGAGGGGGGTACTGCGGAGGAATTGGATATAGCTGATGTTGGCCTCTAAACAGAGAAGTGGTTGATGTTCCAGAAGATTCCCAAGATGCGAAAAAGTGGCCTCTATGGATTGACCACGAGAAGCATGGACCTACGGATTTGCCGTTCTCCTCACCAGAGGATGCCACAGATACAGCGGTGTTTGAAAAAACTCATGAGGGTAGATCTATGCAAAAATTATGTGTCGATACGACGCGATCCACTTCTGACCCCGTTCCACCCCCAGTTCCCAAACTGCAAATGAGGCGAGCAGGACCACGAAAATCTAAAATTACCCTCGCCCCTCTTCCGGGATCCACCAAAGCCAAAAAGATGACGACACTAGACAAATCTGCCATGGATTGGAAGTCTCATCTCCAGACGGAAACAGTAGCTGGATCCTCGGTCGCGGATGAACTGACCGCAAATCGCAAAAGTGGAGGATACTTGGAAAAAGTCGAATTCCTCAAGCGCGTAGGAGAGCGGAAAGATGAAACACTAGAATCCTTGAAGAGCAGCAAGCGTCGTAGGCTCTAGGTCTTCATCTCTCATAAAGCAGTCGCCCATAACTGGATAAGCATCTTTTTCTATGCCGTCTCATACTGATAGCTTCTCAACTGGTATGTGCGATGTATACTCTTTGTTGTATTCTATGCAACTCTCAGATCTCCATCCGACCCATTAATGACTCGACCTTACACTGGATTTTTTGCTTGATTCACCAGGCATGTGTGTATAGGTGTGTATCCGCCTACCATTTTGGATCAGCTTCCCTCCTCAGACTAGTTTGCAAACAAATATTTTTGTGATCTTGAATACCGGGCTGAACCGCAATTCTTCGATTCGACTCCATGAAATACTTTCATTTCTATCTTGTTGAATGTATGTGAATATATCAACTTCGTATCACTGCTAATTGATCCACTGCTCGCGATTCTTTTGGATGTACTCTCCCACGGTCCTTTTCCCAACAAACTTCTTGTCGACGCTGACGTTAAAGAGTTCCTCTTCGACCTGGTCTGCTATCTTGCCTTCCATATCTGAAAGAACAGCAGCGTATTCTTCAGGTAGACCATAGCTTGTGTAGATGTTCTTCATCTCCTCCACGGTATGCTTTACGTGAGTGATTTTCCTCCCGACCGCTGCGCTCAACAATGCCGCGACCTTCAACTTAGCATCAGTAATTGTATACAAGGTCATTTTCGAAAAGCCAAACCTCGTCATGGCTGAGCAACTCGGGACCAAAGACTAGCAGGTCTTTATTGAGGCTCGGCTCTGCCGTCAATGCTTGGAATGCCGCTTCAGCAATGTCCTCGGTCGATACAAATGCCAGGCGGCCGCTCTGCGAAGCCGAAAAGGTCTGGCTGTGGTCCCGAATGCTGGTCAGAAGGCTGGCACCGAAGTTCTCTGATGCATAGATCAACGACTTGTCGGGGGTGACAAGAAAGAAAGACGACGCACGTTGGAACCAAGTTGGCCGAAGGACCGCGTACTCGACCCCGCTGTCAATTAGGTGCTGGTGGATCTCTCCTAGAGGCAGCTTGCCTGCCTCGATTTGGCTCGCGCTTAATAGTACGAAGCGCTTGACCCCTTTCGTTCGTGCGAAATCAACGAAGGCATTCACATGTGCCGTCTCAGGCCCAAACATCGCGACGACGATGTAGACGCGATCGATGCTGGAATCGGCGATGAATGGATTCTCGAAGGTGGCGGGATCGAGCCAGTTGAACACCACGGCCTTGAATGGTTCTGGGGCCTTGCCAGCGCGCGATGCGACAAGAATTGGGAGATTCGCAGCGTGAAGACGCTTCGCCAGTACGGAGCTCGTCTTTCCTGATCCGCCTGTGATGAGGATTGTCATGATGGCAAGTAAACTTAGTTAGAGGGTGAGTTGGGTTGCAGGTATACTCTAGAAAGCGCTGTATTGCGCTTTATATATTCAACTGCAAGCCAAGATATTTTTGAATTCTGTTGAGCTGATCAATCGTAATTTCCAATCATCCAGCTTGCTTACTTTTGCATTGTGATCAGGGCGTTTTTAGGTCCCGCTAGACAAATACGCATTATGTAGTATTATTTTAATTTCATTGAGACTTCGTCCAAACCTAGAGACTTGGACGCCGGCAGACTGCTTTGAGGACGGCTCTGCCGTTTTTGCAACTATTTGTGCCATATATTGCACAAGCATGGCGTCAACGCAACGATATTATGACCAATATCTCCTTGATGGCTGAATAATCGAAGCCAATATACTTTATCTACACACTACTTGATCCACAGGTCCTTATTTGCCTGAAAGTAATCAACCAAACTGTGCGTCCCGACGAATATACCTGGTAGCTTGGCAGCTGCCTCTTCACTCCCATTGGCGTACTTGCTTTGAATGAATGCCAGCATCTCAGCATACTTTGCTTCCATCCCGATATTCTTCAGACGCTGGGTGTATTCCTCTGGCGACAAGTCTTCGTGCGTTATCTTTCGACCAAGGACATTGCTCAAAATTTCTGCTGCCTGACAACGGAGAATAAATGAATTTATTTTGGTAAACTGTTCTAGGAAATCTATGCGTACCTCGTCCATGGAATAGAGCTGAGGTCCCACGACAATGGGATCTCTCAAATTCGGACTCTTCTCGGCAACCAGTGCAGTGAACGCTGCTTGCGCGACGTCTTCGACCGAAACAAAGGCGGACTTGCCACCTCCGGACGCGCTGAAAACGCTATCGAACATGTTGATGGTGGGGCGAAAAGCTACCCCGAAGTTTTCTAGTGGAAAAATTGTTTGATTGTGAGTGAGAATTCCCTTCTGGCTGCGTCTTCGTACCAGTAAATGTGGTTGGACGCAAAACGTAATAATCGACCCCACGACGTGCAAGATACTCGTGCACCTTTCCATGCACCATATCTCCTGCTTCAAGCGCACTGGAGCTGACGTAGACAAATCGTTTGACTCCTTTTGTGATGGCAAGCTCCACGAAAGGCTTGAGGTAGACAAGTGGGTCAGACACTGCAGGCTGGATGAGAAACACTTTGTCGATGGCTGAAACGACATCGAAAGGTGCCTCGTAGGTCTTCCCATCGAACCAATCGAATTTAACCGCTTTGTGAGGCTCGTCAAACGATCCAGAGCGTGTAGCTAGGAGAATGGGTTGTTTGGCGGCGTGCAAGCGTTTGATGAGGCATCTCCCAACCCTGCCTGTTGCGCCTGTAACGAGAATTGTCATGGTAAGAGGATGGTCTGATGAGAAATTGGGGTACGAACTACATAGCTTTCTTATTTATATGTATTCGATCTGACTCGCTGGAAGCGATCGAGATTGACAGACATTGCAAGTACCCTACGGCGTAAGCTCGATTGGAGCTCGTCTATGATGCCCCTGGAATTCGTACCCACTGGCAGCTGCTTGGATTTTCCGATTATGAGATCAACTTTATCAATTCGGGTGCGACCTTTCCGCCAGATTGTTATCAAATAATGACTCAGCAGGACTCAGCAGGTGCCGAGGCCATGAAACTAATTTAGCCATTTAACTTCCGTTATTTCGCTTATTTCTCGTGAAATAGTATTCGATCTTTATTTTAGTACTCTAGTATAGAAATTTTACAGTCCCTCCAACCCGGATCCCTGAAGTCGAATACCTTGTTCGATTTCAATTGTACCCACCTTTTCCAGCCAATAGCCCTTCTTTTTAAACTATTTTCCCGGTCGTGGAGGTACAATGGAGAATCCCACGCCATCAATATCCCATATGTAGGCATATATATGCCATAAACGGAAAGGGACAATGATTTTCACCTTATTCCGGCTCTCCGATATGCTGTTGACAACTCCATCGTCTTTGCTAGTATATCGGTTAGTACACGCGCCTGTCATATTGTATGCAATCAGTGCAATTGTCCGCGCGAAAGCTGGGTTCGACTCCCAGGCAGAGAGGTCTTTTTTCTATGACAAACCAACTGGCACTACAGTGCTGACTCCTGAGGCCTGAGCGCTGGGCCCTGGCGGCTGAGGCTTGAGCACTGGTGACTGAAGTACTGAAGTCTGACTCTCTGAGCAGTGAGTAGTGAGTACTTGAGTGCGCACTGCGCACCGCAGCCGGCAGTCGCTGCTCGCAATTGAGTTTCCACCGCGCAGTGCTGAAGACTCGCGAGTCGCGGGCCACATATTGGCCGGCCGCAACTAGAGTCTGGCGGACGCCGGATACAAATTCCTCGATCTATATGTACATTGCATACTTAGTTTTGGATAATGACCATACCGAGTCAAGATGTCACCTCATTGGCCTCGTCTTTTATCAAGAAACACATCACGGAAATCTCCAGCAGACAGACTATAGCTGATGCAATTACCTTGAAAGTACCCACAATTCTCTCCCAGTGTGAAATTTCCAATTGCAAGAACTATAAAGTTGCGAGACTAGTTCTGAGGTGATACATATTTATGATACAATCTGAGCAAGTATACTTCTACAATACAACACCGAGACTGTCTATCTCGTCCTTAAATATCGAAAAATAGTAGTAAGATCATATCTAATGCTTTATGCATTCCCCTCGTCTCTTTCCATAGGCACAGTGTCAGTGTCAGTGTCGTTGTTCTGTCCCGTTAGACTTTCAGGACGTGTTTTAATCTAGCGCAGTGGAAAGTTCTATGGGCTCAACGAGGGACAAAAATCGGGTGTTTCTCCTACCTCAATGTGGGACATTGGTATTCCATCAGGCCATACTTGTCGCACTACTGTTCGCCCAATCCGGATTTCTCTTGGATCAAGAGTGCTTTTCCCGGTCACCGTATCAAAGCGATACTCTTCGTCTGCGATGGGCGGAGGTCCACCGACAGCATTGGGTCTATTATTAAAAGTCGCCATTATGGTGATCGAGTACAATTTTGCGATTGAAATTGCTGGAACCACGAAGTATATTCCAACGGTCTCTATTTGTTTTCGAAACCCCACAAATAGGACTACACTGGCAACAGAAGCCGTTGCTGAGATCAAATGTGAACTTAGCTAGGAGAATAAAATTTACACCTTGCACGTACATACCTGTGACAGTGCCCGTTTCTATTGTGAGGCGGATGATACGATCCACAAGTAGGTCTGTTCTCCGGAAGCCTGTTGGCGCTTTCGATAACTAGATCGTACATGTTATCCATGCCAGACAGCAGTGAAATATTTTCGCGTAACACGACTTACAAAACATGTAAGCGTTATGGCAATGATTATGTCGCATGCAGCCCCTAGTCCGTTCCAAAGCTTGAAATATCAATAATCTTAAAATCAGCTTTCTTGGTCATAAGAGTAGCATGGTTATAGCTTACACCGCAAGCGTAATCCAAAGACGACAGGCCAGGAATCGAGTTCAGTACCTTGGAGAGAGACTTTGCCTCAAACATCTTTGCACCAAATGTAATTGCAGCAGAAGCGCTACACAATGCCAGCTAGGGATGAATTTCAAATGAATTTATGACTCTCAGGTAGTGAAAGGCAGTTCGATCAGTACTCACAATTGCAATTGAGCCTGCAATCAACCAGGAGCGAGTTATTCGGAAAATGCGATAGGAGAATATAAGGTGGCATATCAGCCCGACTGAAGCCAATTTCAGTAAAGTGCACCAATAGTAGCAAGGAGGATGCCATTACTGATTCCACCCATAATGGGTATTGTGAGAGGAATGAGATGAAATTTATCGACAGCCTGGAAACTTCCGAACCCATTTATGAACAAATCATAAATGTCTCGAGTTGCCAGTCCAACGTGCAAGGTTTCCAGAATCCATATCGAATAAACGAGAAGCTTTCTGGTTATAGGGTCGTTTGGGAAACTGAGGTAGTAATTATCTGTAACAGCGTGCGGTATGGGATTGTCAATGCCAACCCAAAACAAAGACGAAAAACTCACAAACTTGCACGCTTAAGATACCGTGTAGCCCCCAAGTAAAAAGAGATCCTAATTGCTGAATAATTTATGTAAGAACGGTGATAAATGTGTACTGGTAAGGCTACCCACAAGGGCACTCAGCCTAAAGTCGTAGGAGTCGTTGCATATCACTGTTAGAAAAACGCTACATAGTATCGAAAAGGCTAACTCACGCGGAGTGAAATTCTCTCAGATTGGGACCACCATCTGTATTAGTGCTGTTCATGGGCGAAGGCAATCGTAGCGATCCAGTGGCAGTCTGTGGCTCGAAGTCAGGGGTCGAGCGATGGTGAGAAAATGCACTGCAGGGACGAGTGCCATGCCAAATGTTTATAACGTTTTGTTGGGTCGAGCTATTATTACTCTTATCGGGCAATTCGAGCTCGATCTACTTGTGGAAAACCAACAGAATGCAACTCGTCGTAGCATCAGTGATGTTTGCGATCAGTTTGGTGCTGGAAGATGGAATCGTTGAGATCATCTGAGCTTGTATGTCAAATATTTCATTAATTGATCTGATCCCAGTGTCTTTCGCCTTCTGATGAACATGAATGGGGGCAAATACAGACGATTCAGCAGCATCAACAATACATAGGTAGACACCCTTGAACCGAAGATCTTGTCTCTCTGACTTCAAGTTGAAGGCTCGGACTCGGGGGTAGCATGACCCAGTCCAAGTCTGACTTGCGTTCAAGTGAGGCTGACGTGTGGAGGAATGTATGTTGCGGGCATATTTAGGCAATTAAACACAAGGAAGGGAGTGGTATGAAGAGTGATGCTGTGGATCGGAGTCCGTCTGTGGCATGCTCCCGGGACTGTCTCAAGCAATAAATAGATTTTGATCAGGTCCTAGTCCAATGATGTGCCCCATACACGCATATGAATCTCTCTGGTTGTTGTTGCAGCAGCATAAAGGACTCTACATAGTAATTATAGGCCACGGAGCTGCGGACTTTGGCAAGGACCTGTCTTAATCCGGGTGATGATACTGTACTATTTGAATTAAAATGGTCTTTCCAGGGGTGGGCGAAATTCTTGGTTCATCCGCTTCCAACATGGAGTAGAACATATCTGTCCAAACCCAAGTCTGTCTGCTACGCGACTCACGCTACTTTAGGAGACAAGCGGGATCCTTTCATTTTTTAAATATTCGTCCACCCAACGTCCACTTGAGCTGTAAGGGAGTAGTTTACATGTGGCTCATGTGCCATTTTATATATGAGCTTTAAATACGAGCATCTCGCACACCCGATTTGATATCACGTTGATGGCCACCAACCCATATAATAACATCATCTGTGTACTTGGTACTTACATACCTGGCGGTAGCTGTGCATTTATCATACAATATAATTCAGGACGTATGCATATAGTTTCCTGCAGGTTCCCAAAGGACGTTGTCGTTATTGAACCTAGCCACTATTTGAGGCATCGCGGGGGATCCAGATTACGCAGGTTGCAAATGTATTCTTGATTCATGTAAGTAATCCGTTGTTCTTGGATCTCTGATGTCAACGAATACTCAATCTTCCACCGTCACGGTGAAACATTTCGCACGGCTGACTCGGGGATACATTCGTGATCACTTGACAGAGTGGGAACCTCTGAGATAGAGCGCTGCAAAAGATACCTAGAACAACCGAGACAAATCAGTTTAAGGACGCAGAAAATCCAGGCGTCAGGTGTAGAGACACTGAGAGTAATTATTTAATTACCTACACAAAGGGGTCACTGTAAACTGTGCTTTTTAAGGTAGAAGGCGTTGCAGAGGCGACCGCAAACAGCGCCCACTGTATTTATGCACCGTCAAACACAGTCATGCCACACGCCTGAAGGGAATCGAGAGATAGCATTCATAAATAGTAAGTGGGCGTCGGTCGTCGTTATAATTATAGCGCTCGGACGCCAGCGGCGAGATTGGACATGAATCAAACAGATCAATTAACGTGCCACAAGGATATCTTTCCTTGTTTCTCGTGTGCCATTGACACGGATCGCATAAATTTTCACGCCGTACAATGTCAGTCCGGTAGTTGATGTGGTTAAGTGCCCAGCACACCCCCTGGACTGAGTTCCCGAGACTACCACATCACTGATATAGTACGCCCGGAACCTACTTCCACATACTGTCACCTGCGATAAGGAGAACTGAAGAAGCGGCATTAAGTTTGTAAGAGATGTCTACGCTGAATATGGGTAAGGAAATCTGCCAATACGCACTGGATTGCTTGCTGGACTGATAATAAATGCATTGGGCCGGTCTCTTCCCCGACAAGATCACCGATATATAAATTCTAGAACGGGGAGTAACCCTACTAGCGCGATAAGAACTAAATAACAACCTATGATTATATCATCGTCGATTCATCAGTCATAGAAAGGTTAGCGCGAAAGATGTACTACGATATCATGCCATGATCATAGTGCAAACGAGGTCGGAGGAGTGAAGCTGTACTGACCGAGGTTATGAAATGCGGGGAAATTGCAAAGGTAAGAGGCATGTAAGGAACCAATAACAGGGATACTTCCGAATTTAGTAATTGGTTTGCCAGAACAATCAAGCTAGTGGGTGACTTTCCATAACGCTAACTTGAATATCTAACTCTAGATTCCCTTTACGGAGTTTGAAACTGGTAGTAATGTTCCGAATTTTATGACAATTTCTAAACCATAACGACATGGACATTTTTCAAGTTGACTCTTTGCTTGAATTCCTTTTGGGGATATAGGGCCTTCACACATGTATACGCTACAAATGACAGTGTCTGCTATTTTATTGCCGCAAACGAGCTCAGAAAAATATGAAAACATTTTACCGGGTAGGGGACATATACATCTCTACTCAGGGGGGAATTAAGTGGAGGGGAGGTAATACACAGAGAACCAGAGCGGAAGCATCGTCAGCGTGGCAGGAGGATGCTGACGTGAAAGTGATTGCTACGCGTGAACGGAAATGGGAATATGTCGAGCTCCACTTCCTTTTTGGGCGTTTAGAAACATTCAAAAATCTGGACG